ATGTGAAGGTTATCTCCATGCTTATTTTTTCATGCTTCCTTTTTGGTAGATGAGTTGCTTTTGAATATTAATGGTTTGAGAGCAGGTATTAATTACCTAGAATGGCAGGACTGTGGAATTCGAAAATTTGCTTACCTCTTGTGTAGATACAAACTTTAAGAATCACAACGTCTAGAATTTGTTTCGGTATTTGAGCCCATCTGTTTGTGTGTATCAGAAGTAGTAGTGAGATGTCAAATATTGTCAATATGCAAATTTTCGTCAAATGCCTTTGATAAAACCCAAGAGCAATTGAATAAAGAAAAAGTCAGGAAGAAGAATCAGAATAGCAGAAGACTAGAAGAGATGATCTCGATATATTCCCCCCCCCCATTACATGGATGCAAGCACATATTTAAACACTTGAAATACAGAGGAGTTCCACTCCTGCGTGCATAGTGGTCTCCCCCCACAAAGCCAATAACTAAACCTGTAAACAAATGCAACTGCCTAGTGGTAACTAACCGTAAGCCAATAACTACAACAAAGGAAATAATATACTCCGTAATAATTATATGTGAAAATAATAAGACTCCAGCAGTCCAATGGGCCTATCAATACCCCCCTCCTGAAACAGTGACCTTGTCCCCAAGGTCGAAAGCACTCAAAGCAGAAAATTATTCTTGCATAGGAGCAATGTCTTCCCATGTGACATTCTCTTGTGACAGATGGCACAATGTATTCATCCCGGGTATCCTAAAGAAAGTTTTGGTGGACTCTCCTCGGGTGGAACTTCCTCATCCTCAGGTGTTGCTTCCCCACCGTCCAACAAAAGGAGTTGTGGTTGTTTACAACGATGTCCCGGAGTAAACCGCTCACTGCACGAAAAACAGAGGCCGAGTTGTCGTCTACGTTGCATTTCATCCCACGGTAATTGCTTGATGGCAGCAGGAGTTTTGTTTGGTTCTTGTGTCGGTGGTGGACCCAGAATTCCTGCGGTGGGGCTAGGCTTGGCAGCACCAGAACGGAAGGAATTTCGGGTACTCAGTTGCCATTTTTCTTCTATTAGTCGTGCAAGGCCAAAAGAATCCTCCAAGGTTCGTGGTTTTTTTTGTCTTGACTTCGAGCCGAATTTCATCTTTGAGTCCGCCGACGAAACAACCGATCACAAATGGTTCAGGAAGATCACCTATCTGGTGGCTAAGTTGCTCAAAAAATTCCTGGTAAACAGCAACTGTAGTGGTTTGTTTGAGACGAGAAAGAGCCTCAGACGGATCTTCGTATTCAGTTGGTCCAAAGCGCACCCGCAAGGACCTCACAAATTCTGCCCAGGAAATTGGGCCCCGACGCTTGGTCATCCAGCGAAACCATTGTAGTGCCAATCCTTCCAGATTCATGGCGGCTAAGCCAAGTTGTCGTTCAGCAGTCACACCATAGAACTCGAAATATTGCTCCACTTGGTATATCCATCCGGTAGGGTCACCACCTGCAAATTTCGGAAACACCGCTTTCGGTTCGTGTGGCCGGGGAGTGGGGCGGCTGGTTTCTCCATTTGCAAAGGGGTTAACGTTAATATCCATGGCGGAGGGATCACGATTGAGGCGCCGGCTCACTGCTTGTAACTCGGCCGTCACTGTTTGTAGGGCTGTCGTGAGTTGATCCAGCAGAGATTCATGTCGGCCCAGTGCTTCGTTAACTTCGTTCCGAAACTCAGCGTTGGTTTTCCCTCGGGTATCCATCGGCTCTGATACCAATTGATAAAACCCAGGAGCAATTGAATAAAGAAAAAGTCAGGAAGAAGAATCAGAATAGCAGAAGACTAGAAGAGATGATCTCGATATATTCCCCCCCCCCCATTACATGGATGCAAGCACATATTTAAACACTTGAAATACAGAGGAGTTCCACTCCTGCGTGCATAGTGGTCTCCCCCCACAAAGCCAATAACTAAACCTGTAAACAAATGCAACTGCCTAGTGGTAACTAACCGTAAGCCAATAACTACAACAAAGGAAATAATATACTCCGTAATAATTATATGTGAAAATAATAAGACTCCAGCAGTCCAATGGGCCTATCAATACCCCCCTCCTGAAACAGTGACCTTGTCCCCAAGGTCGAAAGCACTCAAAGCAGAAAATTATTCTTGCATAGGAGCAATGTCTTCCCATGTGACATTCTCTTGTGACAGATGGCACAATGTATTCATCCCGGGTATCCTAAAGAAAGTTTTGGTGGACTCTCCTCGGGTGGAACTTCCTCATCCTCAGGTGTTGCTTCCCCACCGTCCAACAAAAGGAGTTGTGGTTGTTTACAACGATGTCCCGGAGTAAACCGCTCACTGCACGAAAAACAGAGGCCGAGTTGTCGTCTACGTTGCATTTCATCCCACGGTAATTGCTTGATGGCAGCAGGAGTTTTGTTTGGTTCTTGTGTCGGTGGTGGACCCAGAATTCCTGCGGTGGGGCTAGGCTTGGCAGCACCAGAACGGAAGGAATTTCGGGTACTCAGTTGCCATTTTTCTTCTATTAGTCGTGCAAGGCCAAAAGAATCCTCCAAGGTTCGTGGTTTTTTTTGTCTTGACTTCGAGCCGAATTTCATCTTTGAGTCCGCCGACGAAACAACCGATCACAAATGGTTCAGGAAGATCACCTATCTGGTGGCTAAGTTGCTCAAAAAATTCCTGGTAAACAGCAACTGTAGTGGTTTGTTTGAGACGAGAAAGAGCCTCAGACGGATCTTCGTATTCAGTTGGTCCAAAGCGCACCCGCAAGGACCTCACAAATTCTGCCCAGGAAATTGGGCCCCGACGCTTGGTCATCCAGCGAAACCATTGTAGTGCCAATCCTTCCAGATTCATGGCGGCTAAGCCAAGTTGTCGTTCAGCAGTCACACCATAGAACTCGAAATATTGCTCCACTTGGTATATCCATCCGGTAGGGTCACCACCTGCAAATTTCGGAAACACCGCTTTCGGTTCGTGTGGCCGGGGAGTGGGGCGGCTGGTTTCTCCATTTGCAAAGGGGTTAACGTTAATATCCATGGCGGAGGGATCACGATTGAGGCGCCGGCTCACTGCTTGTAACTCGGCCGTCACTGTTTGTAGGGCTGTCGTGAGTTGATCCAGCAGAGATTCATGTCGGCCCAGTGCTTCGTTAACTTCGTTCCGAAACTCAGCGTTGGTTTTCCCTCGGGTATCCATCGGCTCTGATACCAATTGATAAAACCCAGGAGCAATTGAATAAAGAAAAAGTCAGGAAGAAGAATCAGAATAGCAGAAGACTAGAAGAGATGATCTCGATATATTCCCCCCCCCCCCCATTACATGGATGCAAGCACATATTTAAACACTTGAAATACAGAGGAGTTCCACTCCTGCGTGCATAGTGGTCTCCCCCCACAAAGCCAATAACTAAACCTGTAAACAAATGCAACTGCCTAGTGGTAACTAACCGTAAGCCAATAACTACAACAAAGGAAATAATATACTCCGTAATAATTATATGTGAAAATAATAAGACTCCAGCAGTCCAATGGGCCTATAAGCCTTCTTAGGATATTTTTACTTGGATTGCAATTTATCCCAGACCAGACCAGATCAGACCAGACTTGGATAGTTATAAAAATACAAAGAAACCAGACCAGACCAGTTCAGACCAGACCAGACCAGACCAGCAAATTACAGCCCAAATAAAAACATCCTTGCACCAAAATGAATGCCTGGGAGCTTAAGTTGTGAATGTTCACAACTTTTCACTTTTTGATTCTGATCATTTACATTCCTTTTCTTTTTGGCATTTAGATGATGAAACTTGAACGACTTTCCAAATTCAGTGTTGTTATTATGGAAGGAGGGGGGATCAGGGCCGGGTGACATTTTGAAAATTTGACCATGTTATTGATGTGAATATAATGTTTGAATGATTTGAAATATTTTCAGGAGGCATTATTCAATTTCACCCTTCTGGCTTTAGTAAGCATTAATTATTTGATAAAAAATAAATGATGAAGGGATAAAGTATTGCAATTCCGAAGCCTCTGGAACAAGTTATGTAGCAAGTGATGTTATTTCTAATAGGTAACTTCGGTCTTCAGTTTAACTACAAATATAATGGTTTGGTTATTATTATTTTTAATTATGGTTCACTGATTTTCCTATATAAAGTAGTAATCTTAAACAGATTCAAAATGCAAATCATATACTTCGTACTATGTAGTATGTATATAGTGTGCACTGTGAAGTCAAAATATGGGGTATAGCATCATAAATTTTACATAAGTGTGGCAGTGATTTTAGAATTTCAGAGTTTGTTCTTGATCTATTCTTCAGATGATGACGTGTATATGACGTTTGTATGACCAAGTAGTATCTCGTTCCTCTTCTGAGCTTCATGTACATAATTCATTTCATATTCATTCTTATCTCAAGACATCATTCATTTCATATTCAAAATTATCTGGCTCTTACTTAACCCTTATTGCTCCAGAGAAAATTTGTGAAGTTATAATGGACCTAAGTACTCATCAATACTGAGCTACTCAAGCACATAAGCAATCATGCAAAGGGAGATCACAAGAAAAAGCAAGATGGTTACGTTTCTGATACCCATTTGCCGATGAAAAGACATAAATATGTGCATTCCTGCATGGTTATGATGGACCATTCCAAGCGGCAACAGGCAGTTCTACAAGCAACCCAAGTGTGCAAGGTTGGAATTGAAAGATCTTATTGGACAAAAGTATGAACATGAAAAGCAGTAGGTAAAGTTTTTTTCCGCGGTTAGTTTTCCCTTGGTCTTTTGGGACTAAGGCTTGGATTTTGGTGTTGTTGTTGTTGTAGTGCTAGTGTATATAGTGCTATATGCTTTGCTGGATGAATATGGATAGCCCCTATCATGATCTATATGAGTGAATCATGTTAGTCTTAAGCGTTTTGACATTCTCTGGTCATGTGAAATCAGAAGTTATCATGTTACTTGGCTACTTGGGCATTTCAACTTCAAGTTGTAGCAATGCCTTGCTTGAGTTATATGTCCATCATATGACTTATGATAAGTTAATCTAATAGGAAGGTTCACAGTACAGACTTGAAGGAATAATAAAGTTGATTCTAATGGACATTGCTAAATTGCAACAAAAAAATAATTCGGTTAGTTGTTAATAGGCTTCCAAAAGGAGAGAGCATGGTGTACTCTTCCTTTCCACCCTTGCAACATCCAGTTCCCATCTTCTTCCAAGGAGAAATTCTTATTGAAATCCGATTTCATTCTCTCCGTTACAAACTTGAGGATCTCTTGGTCGAGTGGCAGTTGCTGGAGTCCAGCCTTGAGGCTTCTAACTTGCCATTGCTTGTACGTCTCAGGCCTCTCTACTCTCTCTGTTCCTTCACAAGCTATCACATTCATCACATCTTTTGCAAGCAACATTTCCTCAAAGAGCCGCCTGTCTGTGTCTTCACTTGGCACAGTCACATCAAACATGTCAAACAGTGAGTAGAAGTGAAAGACTGCCTCCCGGAATCGTGTGGCAAAGAACGGGGCATTGAAGGTCCCGTTCACAACCGCATGGATGAACAGATTTGGATTGATGTTCTTGATGAGATTGAGTACAATGTCTCTTGGGCTATCGGGCACCATCGTCTCATCTGGCACAGTACCTAGCCTGTCCAAGCAGTTGACAACCAGCACGTCGTAGTCCCTGTCGATATCGAGATCTTCGAGTGTTATTCTCTCCCATTTCGTTGCTATGGCTTTGTACTCAAATGGGACATGAAATCTCTTGCAATATTTTTGCAGTCGAATTCCCGTGGCCTTGACCTGCTCTTCAGGACGGAATCCGGGCTGGGGAAAGTCTATCCCAGTGATACGAAGCCTTGGAGGCCCACCGGGCCTCGTCGAGAGACCTTGTATGAGACTTGGCCATTGAAAACCATATAAAATTCCAAAATCTATGATATGCAAGCTGGTTGCTCTTCCAGCAGCAACAAGCTTTCCGATGCATCTGTTTGCCATTATAGTTGATAATACCTTGAAGGGGATTGCGTTGATATACATCCGAAAAGCTTTCACCATATCTGCAGCTGATATATTGTCTGGATGTTTGGATATGTACAGTGATGTCCCCATTCCATTTGAGCGCGCCTCGAGCGCATTGGCAAGATAAAATGACATCCTTTCTATTCCGTTGCCATAAGGAGAAGAGTGCAACCTTATTGTCTTAAGAGTCACGTTAGCCGCCTTGATGTCATAAATTATCAGGGACTGTGCACATTGAGTGAGTAAGCCTCTGAAATCCACATAGTCCTTTTCGGTTTGCTGTTTCTTCTTGCCTCGTCGGTTTCTCCGTCTTGCCTTGGGTTCAGATTTTTCTATATTCTTAGGGGGACAGGCAACTATTTTTCTGTCTACGGGACATAGAAAGGAATCGTAGTACCTATCGTCCATTGGCTCAGATTCTTCTGAATAACTTGGCGCCGAGTACTTGTTATTGCTTTGGTGGGTTTCTGCAGAATCATTGCCAGGCGATGAATCATGGTTCCTTTTTCCCTTTGAGGGTGATCGGTCCTTCTCGGTCTCCTCCACTCCTCCGCTTTCCCGAGAAACCAAACCGTGTTGGCACTCATAAGGACTATCGTGGTTCCTTTTTCCTTTTGAGGGTGATCCCTCCTCGGTTTCCTCCTCTCCTTCTCTGCTTGCCCGAGATACCAAACCGTGTTCGCACTCAAAAGGAGTATCGTGGTTCCTTTTTCCCTTTGAGGGTGACAAGTCCTTCTCGGTCTCCTCCACTCCTTCTCCGCTTGCCCGAGATACCAAACCATGTTCGCCCTCAAAAGGACTCAACAAAGAGTCAGATGAAGAGTTACTAGGATGTCTACCCCAAGAGAAACCGTCAGGCTGGTTGTCAGTGCCTTTGAGCACCTCAGATAAGTGTTTCTCAGTGGCTTGGAGAGCCAAGCATTCACTGAGCATGAAAGGCTGGTTCTCCAGGTCTTCTTCCTCCATTAGCATCTGGCTTATGTACTTTAGAGTCGCATCTGGGTAGTCTCCTGTCTCATCTTGTTCTGTTGTAGCAGATTTGTTCACGGTGAGATTGTTAATGCCTGAGAAACTACTTTTAGGACTGCTTAGAAACTTTGGATCCATTGGGGTAGAGTGGTGACTTTAGACCAAATCATTTAATGTGATGATGAATTCTTGGATCAGAGTCTTCATCACAGGATAGATGAGATCAAAGAAGCAAGATACTGTGAAGAATTGGGGGGGAGCTGAAATTATGATGGTGAAAGGGTGATATTGAAAATGAGGATCTGGATTAATACACGTTATGTTTTTTGAGTAGTCATACTAACATATAGGTAAAACTAAATGTTACTCATTCCATTCATACAGTCAACTTTATTCTTTTTTGTTTATCTTATTTTTTAAAATCTAATTCATAACACATTCGGATTCATTTTTTGCAATTCAATACAAATTTTAGTATAGTTCCTGAATGTGTTATTTTTAAAATTTTCATATAAACTATTTTTATCAAACACACATTGGAGAAAGCTCACCCGTGTTAAAACTTGTTGTCATTTTATAAACTTATTAATTGAAAAGAATTTATTCGAGTCCTAACTCCTAATATCAAAGTAAAACAACTTTAATTCCCAAAGTCAAAAAGTAACCAAGGTTTTGTACCTAGCTTTATATTTTACTGCAACATCAGTTTCCCCTGTGGGCTGTGGCACTGCTATGCCTGTTGCCCTTCATCCCTTTTCAGAGTTAGTAACTTTATTCTACTATTATACAAGGAAACAAGCCAAATAATAAAGATAGATGTACATGTTTGGTACATTTTTAGATGAACTCTTATGTGGCAATAATTGATTAGGTGATGAAAAATTGATCTACTTTTTACCACCCAATACATTCATAAAAAAAAAAAACATTCATGTCACATAAGAATGTTGCTAAAAACATGGTTACCCGTCCTTACTCCTTGAGCTTCTTGGTATGGAAACATCCACTTATATATCACCGCAAGTCCCTAACTGGCCTATCCAAACTGTAGAAAGCTCACTTAAAAGAAGGAACGAAGTACACTTGTGGCAAGGGGGCGGCAGCTGGTTTCATTTTCGGCTTGCATTTTTTTTTACACCTGAACATCGAATATGACAACAATGGCGTTCGGCATGGTTTCAGTTGGGACTTGAGAGTTGAAACCATGCCATAGCGATCATAGATTTGACAGATAAAGGGATGGAGAGGAAAACGGTGCCCGAATACCTCCATCTTCGAGCCACAATGGTACATGGCTTGGGTGCGTGATTTTTTGAAACATAAGTATTTGTAAAAAAAAAATGTTATGAAAATAAAAGAATTTAGAAATTATAACCAAACTGTGCTTCATTATTTTGCAGTATAAAATATGAAGTATTGAAATGCACCGAAAACTGAATTGACGGGCGTCTGCATTAATTTTGGTATACATTTATTTTGGGTTGACAAATGCAATATTTGACTTTGTAGGCGCAGGGAAATTTCGTATGAAGAAAGTGGAACGTTTGAAGAAAAATGGGAGCATATCAACGAGAAAGCAAGCAAATGAAGCAACCACACAAGTCAATGGGAGTAACACATACGTTCCTGGATGGTTTGCCATTAATCAATGCTGAAAAATAGTGTTTACTTTAAATTACTCATAATTAGCATTCCACTTTTTACTCTTGCAGCCCACAATCCACATTACTAAGGCATAGAATAATGTACCGTGTTAACATTTATCTTGTTATGTAGTGGTACTTTGACTAAACGAAATTTGATCTTTTTCTTTTGTGAAATTAGAATTTGCTGGTTATTTTCAAGTCCTTTACATTCTCATATCAAAAGTCCAGAATTGATTTGAGAAAGAAATACACAATCTAATATGAGTCAAAATTTAAGAGAAATAAAATTATACAAGAGAATGAGAGATTGCAATACTAGGCACTTGCAAGTTCAGACGTTCAGTGTTCTTTTAATAGTGGTGGAAACTGGAAACTGGAAACTGGAAACATTGTTCTTTTCATATTTAGCTGTTTCAATTTTTTTTGCTTGCATTTTCATTCAAAGCAATAAATATGTGATTGAAGTGATTCAATTCTCCCCTGCACGTGCAGTCAACTTTTGCCAACTTTTATGAGATGGAGAAGTGTTTTTTTCAACCCTTTCTTCAAAGATGAAAGATATACTACATAATATTTACATCTAATGGTGCAAACGCTTTCTTTCGGCACTTTAACGTTCTCTAGTTAAAAAAACACAGGATTGGCAAAAAAAATTGACAGGGATTCACCAAAATTTATAGAGGGTTTGGCAGGGATTTGCCAAATATGTGCCAAAAACACTTTGGCACGAGCTATTTGGTACAAAATCATCGATAAATTCGTGATAAATTCGTGTCAATCCCGTGCCAAAACGTAGCATATCAGATACATAGCATATTAATTAGGTAGGGGAGGATACAAAAAACCGGTGTTTTAGGTGATCTTAGATAGGGCTAAAACGTCTCTAAGAGACCTAGCCGTGTTTTTTTGATTAACTATACCAGTTTTTTCAAACTTTCGATCCGTTTAACCGACCAATAAAAATATAAAGTTCACGGCACAGTTACAATTTTAGAAAACTCCTGTGATCGGTTAAGCGGAAAAATGAAATATATTATGTTGCAAAATATAACACAAAAAATTTAAAAATACTTTGTGTAAAAATACTATATGTTATTAGTAAAAAACAATGAGTTTTAATCAAAATTTTAATTTTGTGTAGATAATGTTATCTGATAAAATGTTATATTAGAGTATTTAAAATATTGTCCTATACATATATCTGTGTGTTAAAATAATGAAAAAAAGTAAGTTTGGTAAGAGAAAAGTAGTCTAAGTACTTTATTGGACGTAATTTAAATTTCATATCATTTTATAAAAATCATTTGTAGAGCACAAATGATTTTTACATTTGAAGGAAAATATACTAAAGTTTGAAAGCTTGCATTTTACAAATATTGGAGTTGAAAAGTTCACAAATGCTCCAACGTTTTCATTATTGTATAAAATAACTGTTTACATATTACTTTGTGTTTCAAATTCAAGTTGATTTTTTTTTAGTTTAATTAGACATTTATTAATTCTTTTATGTTTTTCCATGACTTTTTGGTTAACTGAAAATTTGATTAATCAGTATCCAAATAGTCGATATTTTGGTACATGTAATGCTATTGAAATTTTTGTAACTGTAACCTCGTTTAACCCAAATTGGTTCACCCAAATATGGTTAACGGAGAACACACATCCCTTATCTCAGGTGTACATTTTCTAACAAACTCATACTTCTTCTGTATTCATATGTTTGCTACATTGGGCGTGTTTGGCATTCAGCGGTTAGCGATTAGCGGATAGTAGATTATGGATTTATGGTAGCGTGTTGTCAATAGCGGATTCAGTCAGCGGGTTTGACTAGCGGAATAAATTGATGGGTTGTTAGAAGATGTGTGGTAATTTAGTTGTTTGGTCATAAAATTAGTAGATAACACCACTTTTCAAAACGCCAACTCAAAACTTTCCTATTATCAGCGTCTTCATTTCAACGTTTTCGTCCAAAAACGCTAGTGCCGAACCACTGTTTACCAAACAACTTTTTCACCTATTGAAAACGCTGAAAGTGGTCAAACCGCCATTTGTCGTCTGAAATGCCGTTTACCAAACACCCCATTGGCCATTATGGTTTGATACAATACTTAAGCGAAAAGTATAGTAGTTGAAATAATTAATAGTACTGTAGAAAAAGTAGGAGAAGAGGTGGAGAAGTATGAAAGAAGAGATAAAAAAAAATAAAAAGTCGAAAAATAAGAGTAATTGCGTATTTTAAATGGAAAACTTATCAAAAAGAAAATGTTGCAAAATCAAAATGTATCCTAAAAAGAAAAGAGTAACAAACATTTCAATACATTTTCAGTCAAAGAAAACATTTCAATACATGGTGTAGTATGTATTAGTGACAAGTAGAATATGAAAGAGAAAATTCACCCAAATTTTTGGGAAGGTGAAAAGATAATTGTAGAGAATTAATGTACTATAAATGCTTTAAACTTCACAATGACAATCCATGATTTTAAAAGCTCATAAGAATACACCAAAATTTTAAAATCCATGATTTCAATAGAGCTAAATTTTTAAATCCATGAACTTTTAAAAATTTGCCACAAATTCCTTATACAATACACTCTCCTAAAACTTTATCAACTTTTACTAGAGAGTATTAAATATTTTTGACTTCTGATCCATTTCTTTGACTTTTGAATGTTTAAGGCAGGCTTTACAAGGTCACAATTTCGGGTGATTCATTTCCATGTTACAAAAAAACATATATATCAAAATATACTCATTTCAATTATGGAGTATGATTTTATAAATTTTATTCATATTTATCAACTCCATAAAATATATATTATGTCACTTTAACCCATTTGACTCCATAAAAAGTTATAAATCCAAAAGAGTCACATAGGCTCCATAAAAGAACTCATATATATCATGTCACTCATATATAAGACAAGATAATCAAATAAACGGTGGTAGAACACAACAAACTACTATTCCCGTATTCCGTATTTTGTAAGGGTGTTCATTTGAATAATAAATCAATATGAAAAAAATACATGTGTGCAATTAAAGCAATAATGTATAATATTTATTTCAATAAATCATGTTTCACTGTTTACTCTTTTTACAAATTTTTTAATTCAAAAAATACTTATGTAGAATTTTTGTCAAACAATACCTCTATTAAAAAATATCATAAAATAATGAGATTTTTTTCTAAAACATTATTAATTAAAAACTTAGACAAAGATGTGATTTAGTAACTTTTAATTATAATTGTGTTCAAAGTTTACATTGTTAAGTACTGATTATAAGTATATTTAGTAGTTACTATAATGTAAACGGAAGACACAATTATAATCATATTTTTGCTAAGTCATATTTTTGTTTATTAAAATTTTCATGTTAGGTTCGAAAAATAAAACTCTAATAAATATGTTGTACAACCACAAACTTTCACGTTTTCAAAAGATAAATTTAACCGCAAAAGTGAACGCTCCTCATATTCTCATAATGAGGTAAAAACAATTGAAGTTGAAATTTTAAATAAAAATATACTCCGTATTTGATAATGTTAAAATTAATTGAATTGACTTAATATGTTGAATCTGGTGAAATTCGGGCTGAAGGTCCTCAATTAGTTGAGGACCTTCAGTATTTTAAATATATGAGAAATATTTAAGATATTTTCTTCACCAACCAATTACGTATGAAAACAACTCCAACCTTATTTATTTTCATTATTATATAATTCATCCTGTGACATAAAAAATTACATATATTAAAAGAGTACCGATTAGCCGAGAATAGGTTAACAAGATCTAAAATGAAAATAATTGTATACATGTATATTACGAACTTTAGTACACATTTTTCTGAATATCTAATTTCCTTTAAAGCAATATGTGTCATAAACATTTCAAAGTCATATGTATAGTGCTATACACGAGCATAAAATTTAAAGATTACATCCCGTGAAACGCACAAGTGAAATACTAGTACACCTAGATTTTAAATTTCGTGATTTCAATATAGCTAAAGTTTTAAATCCATAGACTTTTAAGAATTTGCCACAAATTCTTTATACAATACACTCTCCTAAAACTTTATTAACTTTTACTAGAGTATTAAATATTTTTGGTGAAATTCATACCAATAATCTGTACTTTTAGAGGTTACACAATAATAATCCATGTTGAAGAAATTTATACAAATAATCAGATACTCTTAAGCAAATGATGAAATAATTGAACGGGACTACCTTGTTTTGATATTAATCCCTATCGCCCCTACCTTGTCTTGCCCTTCACATTATCTTCTTCTCTCCAACCCCCTTTTCATCTTTATCTACTACTCCGTACTTTGTATCCTCTTCTCCATCTTCTCTTCTTGGCATAATTTTTGTATCATATTGTAATCATATTCACCTCACCACACAATCTTCTCAGAAGTCTCTACCATAATTGTTTTCCTACTCATAGATGTTTACCCTAATTTAATGGTTTCATCTACAAAACCCTAAATTTGAACCTAATATTCTTCTTCAAAATGACCTATTGCAATGGAAAAGAAATGATGAAAAGAAATTCCTTAACCTTCTTGGGATGGAAACATCCACTTACATATGGGTTACCATGGGTTGTGTTCATATTTTAGAAATGAAGTTCCAAAATCATTGCTTTTAAAGACACGTCAAACTAACGAGACTTTAGCTGAAGTAGGTAGATTGTTCATCTTCTGCTAAGTAACCCCGTTTGTGTATGTGTAAAGAAATGTGTTTAACTTTCAAAACTTTACTACGCACCTACTTCATTTTTGCATAACAGGGATGGAGTTGTTCTTCACATTTTAATTGCACACTTCATAGTTTATCTTCGTTTTTTACTCTCAATCATGTGATTACTCTTCATATTTTAATTTTCATACAGATAACTGTTGTTCTTTGTTTGAAATCAGAAAAATGATAAAATGTCTCAACTTTTAGATCATTTTGTATTACTTTAATCAGCATCGATAATTTTAGATTCAAAAGGTAAATTTATTTTCAAAACTTATTTTGATTCCTTACATCTAAGCCATGTGGTACTTTGAAATGATGGCTGTTTGGTGTGGTGTTTGTGGAGGTGGGGATTTGAAAAATATTATGATGCAGTGTATCAATTCCCAAAAAATATTTGTGTAGTTTGAATTGTTTGCCATAACGAAATTTGGGTGTTCTACTAGTATGTAAGGATGGAAATGTACTTCTAAACTTCAAAAAAGTGCAAAAATAGTCTTAATATTCGTATAAGGTAACAAATTTATTCTTTTTAACTTTAAAAAAATGAAAAAAATAAAAATAAAAATATTAATTCAAAATTCAAGCAAGAGAAGTGAACAAAACTTCTCGTTTAGGCGTTCAGGTACATTTGCTCAGATCGTAGTATTCCAGGCAGGTAGTTTTGTCGTGTGGGAAATGGAATTTTGCTCTAGTCGATATTTTACGGTTATTTTTCCCGCCGGTCGGCCTCCATCCTTTCAAATGACACCCACAGAGAGGAAGAGAAGCAAGTGTAGTGCCAGTGTACTTCATTTGTATGCTTACAGACTCGCCAGAGAATAAAATGCCCACTTCGAAAAATTGAAGGTAATTTTATTTTTGACCGAGAAGAATTGTTGTTTGTGAGTTGCTGAAAGTGTTATTCATGTCAAATCAATCCGAATTCCAATGTTTATGAGTCGCTCAAATTGGATCGCTCATCGAATTCCAATTCTTTTTAGTTTTTACCGTGTACTTTTCTCGAATTCTATGTTTTGGAGTAGTGGATTGGGGTTTCATGAGGTGGTGCCATTTGGGGGAATCCTTAATTCTTATATGATTGTGTTGTACTCCGTATATGATATTACAATGTGAGCTAGTAGATTAAGTTTAGGCGTGATGGTTATGTATGCAAATTTAATTGATGTGATCATGTGAATATGGTCTGAATAACTGGATATTTTCAGAAGGCAATATTCAATTTCACTCTCCTGGATTTCTGTCTTCTTAGATGCAACAATTTTTTATTGAAATTAAATGAAGAAGTGCTAAAGCCTAGCAAAGCAGAAGCCTTTGAAACAACTTCTGGAACAAGTGAAATGTTTTCTAATAGGTTACCTCAGTCTTTATGAGATACATACATAACAATATTGTGATAATTTCTTGATTACTTTACCATGCTTTTTCCTGTATAAAGTTATAAACTAGACTATAAAAGCTTCTACATAATGCAATTCATATATTAAGCGTAAAGTCTAAACTCTAAATTTAGGGTATGGTGTCATAAATTTTACATAAACTTGGCAATGATTTTAAAACTTCAAATTCTGTGCTCGATTTATCCCTGAAATGTTCAGGTGTTTCTGGCTTTTATTTGGCCAAGTAGTGTATCTCGTTCTTCTTTCGAGCTTCTTTTACATAATTTGAGATTACTTTAACTTTCTTACCCCAAGGTTTCCTTCATTTCGTAAATCATCAAGATGGAAACAAGAGCTCATCAAAATTGAACAATGCTAGCACAGATTGAAGGCAGATCACAAGAGGAAACAAGATGACATAGAAATGTGACTTCCATGAAGGGCCATCTTCAAGTGGCGTCAAGAAGTCCAAGAAGCCACCCAAGTGTGAAAAAAACAGTAGAAAAGGCTGATTCTTTTTGCTCTTGGATAGTATTCACTCGGCATGCTTCTTTACTGATTAATGCTACTGTAATGTAGTGCATAAGCTTTGTAGTTGTGACGAGTGTAAACAGTCCTAGATTTGCATTATTTATTCACTTCTTCCGCTTTTTCTTTTAAGTTTTGTTTCTCTGCCTGCAACCTCTTCTAAACATCTTCACTAATCGAGCTGTGTATGTGTCACTTCACATAAAGGTGCATATGCATTACAATATTTCTTGACTGTTTATGAAGTGAAGTATGTTCTGCTATGTTCTTGTCAGCTTCAGCTCTACTATTATAGTGGCCATAACCCTATCATTAATCATGATAAATTGAGGTAATCAGCCTACTCTTTGTCATTATTAGATGCTTAGTTTTTATTTCTCAGCTAGAGAAATCAGCTATGAGCTTCTCTAGCTTCAGAACACTCTGTTTTGAAATTGTGCAGTTTCATCATCATCATTACCCCAATGCCGCAAAGGCTCCCATCTACAGTGGGGTAAGGGGATCTACAATGGGGTAGGGGGGGGTCGGATGTAGGCAGTCTTGCGGCCTGTACAGTTTCAGGAAACAAATTCTCTTTGCTGGGTGAATATGCATTTTGGAAACCCTATTCTGATCTATATTAAAGAAGGTTTGCCACTCTCTGGCCATGTAAAAACTACATTATAATATTTCGTACTGTCTAATTCGGCATTCTTGAGTACTTGGGCGTTCTAAATTCCAAGTGTTATACTTTTGAGGCTTCGACTATATGACCATCTTATGATAAGTTAATTAAACAGGAATTTTCATATTACCAACTTAATGGAATGATAAAGCTTTATTCTATATTACTAAGAATAATGGACATTGCTAATGCGGTTTAAAACAAAAAAAAAATCTACTAGTTGTTATTAGGCTTCCAACAGGAGACAGCATGGTGTACCCTTCCTTTCCATCCTTGTAACAACCAGTTCCCATCTTCTTCCACGGAGAAGTTCTTGTTGTAATCCAATTTCACTTTCTCCTTTACAAATTTGACAATCTCTTGATCAAGTGGCAGTTGCTGGAATCCAGCCCTAAGGCTTCGTGTTTGCCATTGCTTGTATGTCTCGGGCCTCTCTACTCTTTGTGTTCCTTCACAAGCTATCACATTCAGCAATTCTGTGCCAAGCACCATTTCCTCAAAGAGTAACCTGTCTTTGTCTTCACTTGGCACAGTAACCTCAAACATATCAAACAGTGAGGAGAAGTGAAAGAGTGCCTCCCGAAAGCGCGAGTCGAAGAACGGGGCGTTGTAGGTCCCATTCACAACTCCGTGGATGAACATATCTGGATTGATGTTCTTGATCAGATTGAGTACCATATCCCTGGGGCTGTTCGGCACCACCGTCTCATCCAGCACGTTCCCTAGCCTGTCTGAACAGTTGACGACCAGCACATCACAGTCCCTGTTGATCTTGAGGTCTTCGAGTGTTATACTCTCCCATTTCCTTGCTATGGCTTTGAACTCAAATGGAACGTTGAATCTCTTGCAGTACTTTTCCAGTCGAACACCCGTGGCATTGACCCGCTCTTCAGGACGGAACCCGGGCTGAGGAAAATCTATCCCAGTAATTCGAAGCGTTGGAGGCCCACCGGGCCTCATTGAGAGGCCTTGGATGAGACATGGCCAATGAAAACCATACAGAATACCAAAATCTATGATATGCAGACTGGTAGCTCCTCCTGCTGTAAGCTTCCTAATGTGTTTGTTTGCAATCATACCTGATACTACCTTGAAGGGGATTGCGTTGATATACATCTGGTAAGCTTTCACAATATCTGCAGCAGAGATATTGTTGGGATGGTTAGATGCGTACAATGATGTCCCCGTTCCATTTGATCTTGCCTCGAGCGCATTAGCAAGGTAAAAGGCCATCCTCTCAGTTTCATTGCCGTGGCTAGAAGAGTGCAGCCTTATCCTCTTAAGAGTCTCATTAGCTGCCCTGATTTCATAATTGGCCATGGACTGTGCACATTGGGTGAGCAAGCCTCTGAGATCCACAAATTCCTTTTTGGTTTCTGCTTTCTTTTTCCCACGCCGGTTTCTACCTCCTGCCTTGAATTCAGAATTGTCTACTTTCTTGGAGGGGCAGAAAAGGGCGTCGTAGTACGTATCGTCTAACAGCTCAGGTTCTTCCAAATAACCTGCTGCCAGTTGCTTGTTGTTCCTCTGGTTTTCTGCAGAATCAGTTTCGGGCGATGAATACTCATGGTTCCGTTTTCCGTTTGAAGGTGAATGGTCTCTATCAGTCTCCTCCACTCCTCTGCTTGCCAGAGATTGCAGGCTGTTTTGGCACTCAAATGGGCTCGAGTCACTCGACAAAGAGTTACTCAGATGATCACTCCATGAAAATACGCCAGGCGGGCTGTCTGTACCGTTAAGAACATCAGATAAATGTTTCTCAGTGGCTTGGAGAGCCATGCAGTCCCTGAACATGCAAGGCTGGTTCTCCAAGTCTTCTTCCTCCATCAGGGGCGGAGCTAGGGGGTGGCCACCCCTGGCCCTGGCCCAGCCCAAATTTTAAAAATCTTTATATTTTTAGTGTAAAAAATTCTGTGTAATTTTTTTTCCAAAAATATTCTTTGTATCGGCCCAGTCCGGCCCAGTGTCCTGGCTCCGCCCCTGTCCTCCATTAGCATCTGCCTTATGTACTTTAGAGTGGCAGCTGAGGAGTCACCTTCACCATCCTCCTCTTCCTCTTTTGTAGCAGATTCGTTCTGGACAAGGCTGTTATTTACCAAGAAACTACTACTACTACTAAGACTGAAGAATCTTTGCCCACTTATATACCTTGGATCCACTGGTTTAGAGTGGTGATTGTAGACCAACTCATTTGATGTGGTAAAGAGTTCTTGGATTAGAGCCTCCATTTCATGCGTTCTACCCCCACCTTAGCTTTTCACAGAAATGAGACTCTAGGGAACAGGATAAGCAACAGATTATACTATGAAGAATGGAGGGAGGAGCTGAAATAGTACTAATCAAGTGATAATCAAGTGATAATATTGACGATGAAGAAAGGATGGTCTCTCTCTTTTAATGAAGGAAAAGTAAAACACGGGTGGCCATGTGGGCCAACACGTTAAGCTTATCAAGTGGAGTAATGATTTACAAGTATACGTAGTACCTAATAACAATTATTCCGTATAATAATGTCCTTCACTTCTTTGGATCCCTTAAGTTTAATTTTTTTTAAGTGCAAGGGACATTTGTGATTGCTTGTATTTAATAAGGGATGTTTTAAAGTGATTGTAGAGATAATGTTTATTATTCAAAATTAGTAGTGTATGAGAAAAAACTGATTTCGAAAGAGTAAAAGTTGTACCGTGTTAAAAATTGTTTTATGTAATTGAAAAAGAGGAAAGCAATTTAAAACGATCCTCCCTTGTTTCTAGCTTTTAATTCTAAAGTGCTTAACTTAAATAGAAATTAATCAAACTGTTACTTAAAAAACACCATTCAGCTTTTTAAGCTAATGTTTGAAAATCAAAGTTTTTTTCTTGAGAAATGCTACTTTTACCGATGATACATATTTGGTGAATAGTATCATACTTGCAATACATTTGATTGATCAAATTTGTTATTTCACCACTTTTTGTGTTTGAACTGCTCTTTTTTTAGTTTACCGGTATAATTTATTTAAACATTAATATAAGTACATTGCAATTAATATTTTTTTAACATAATAAAGTAAATTGATCATCATAATAATGCTAAATTTTTTGAACATAATATTTTTTTATCATCCCTAATTTTAATATTAATATTAAATTGAAAAGAACTTAGAGTGGCAAGTTCCAGGAAGCAGAGGTGGCAACTTCCGATTTTAGTCCGCCCTCTCTAGAAAAAGTAGTCATAATACTATAGTAGTCAACTCATACTGTGCTTCAGGCTACCAGTACTAGTACCAAATTCAAGGCATAATTTTTGTGTGCCATTTTCATTGAATTTGTTGTGCGACTTTAAGTTTTAAATGGGTGTTGTAATTACAAATAGGGATGGGCAATAATCCTGGTTAGGGGTGGGCATGACGGTTTGGTTTAACCGAACCGTACCATACCAAACCGAAACCGGACCGTATCGAACCGAAATCGATAAAAACCGAACAAACCGAACCGAACTAAAGAAACTCAAAAAAAAACCTTCATATATTATTAAAATTGGTCGTTTGATTTGGGTTTACTTAAGTAAACTTTTTGGTAAACATTTGCTCAAACCGAATAGTTTGGCGCTTTGGTTTGGATTGATTTAAAACGGAAAAACCGTAAACCAAACCGAACACCGAACAACATACACACACACACACACTTTGTATTTATCTTGACTCTTCATTTTTAAGATATAAGTAAATAATTTAGACATGAAATTAATACATATTTAAACATATACTCGTATCAATTTAACTTTTACACATTTCATACATTATGTTTGGCGATAATAATAGCAGATTGCATTTATATTTTTACATGATTCATTTGAATAAAATTGTGAATATTACAACATTTGTATCACCGACTCTTTTAGGTTTTTTTGAATATTTTATGTGATATTATAAATGCTAATCAACTATCCTTTTTTGTAAGAAGTGAATTTTTTTGAAGTGATAAAAAAGATGTTAGAAGTTTTAATTTATAATATTTTATTATTTATTTTTCTATCTTTTATTTCGTTTTACATTTTATTTAAATAATCAATAAATTAAAAAAAGATGAGATGGACTACTACTTTCATTTTCTAATTCTAAAATATAGAACTTTATCAAATAAAATAATAAACATAAGCAAACAAATCAAATCAAACTAAATTAAACATAATATTTTTTACTTTGGTAAACCGAACTTCAAACCGAACCGAACCGTAACCGAACCGAAACACAAATGGTTTTAGTGTAGTACAAATTCTCCCAACCCGAATAAACCAAAACCGAACCGAAACTGTAGAAAACCGAACCGTAAACCGAATTGCCCACCCCTAATCCCGGTCCCGTTGTCCCATTCTGGTATATCCTGAAATTGTACTGGTGTTGTCCCGTTCCGTTTGAAATTCGATTACTTTGTCCCGCACCGATCTCGTACCGGTTTAAAACATGACATGATCGGAGACCGAAAGGTTATCCCGAACCGTCCTGTTGTCCTGTTTGTAATAACTATATAGGTTTTAGCATGTGACTAGTTTGTACTTTGTAGTACTATCTCAAAAAAATAATAAACAATAATACAATATGTTTCAAGCCCAATTTTTTAAATTAAAAATAATATCCCCTCTGTCCCGCAAAATAGTTCTCGGTTTCCTTTTTGGGCAGTCCCAAAAAATAGTTCTCATTTCCCGTTTTGGATGGTTTTGTGTGGCTCACATGCATTTACATTTTTCTTACACAACTACAAGTCTACAATCATACATTTTCACTTTATTCTCACTTTCTTAAACTTCGATCCAAGTCAATGCGAGAACTATTTTATTGGACGGAGGGAGTACCTAACATAAATATTTACTAGCTTAAGTTTGTATCTCACTTTCTATATATTTGCATATGAGTATCCCACATCTAGAACACATAATTTTGCATAAATTAATTCTTATTTGCTTTGTTTTGAATTTTTTATTTTTTATTTTGCTAAACTTAATTAAAATCTAATCGCTTTTAGTTTTTTTGTGATTGATAACTTTTTATGAACATTAGTTAACTTTTAAATTGTTAATATTTTGGTGCATGATACTTTAGAAGTGCTAATATGTTTTAATTATAAATGATGTTTTTTTATTTAATACTCTTTTGTTAGTTTGGGATGTCCCGAACCGTTCCGAATTATCCTAGTCCCAATTTAAATGGGAAAAGACCAGGACAAAGGCGTATCCCGTCCCCTACCGTTATTACTAACTAGTTTTCAAGCCCGTGCGATGCACGGGCAGCACATAATTTAGCTAATTGTAAATTTGATATTTTCGAAATCATATATAAATTAATGTGATGCAAAAGCAAAATAAACTCATTCTAATATAAAGCCGTTTGATAATACTACAATTGGTCGAATTCTCTGACCTTACTGTAACGAATTAAATCTAAATGATTGGGCTAAATTGACGGAATCTTCCAAATTATGAAAAGGCAAAATACAATATACTACGTACTATGTATTACATATGTAATTAATAAAATAAATTAAAATTTATATGAAAAATATTCAAAATGGACTTCTACATAAGCATCTCAACTGAATATAATTGTTATGAACCCGATTTTAAAGAATTCACACAAAAGTTTCTTAATTAATTTCACATCCTTTATATCACTTCATTAAACGTCTCAAAACACTATTTTTTAAAATATTTTTAATTAAACATACAATGAAATAAGTTTTGGTAAATTTTATTAGTGGGATCTTACATTTTTACTCATTATTTTGTCACATTGAAAATGTAAAAAAATGGATCACTTTTACAATTTACTCATTTATTTCATCACACTGAAATAAATAATTTGGTATGAAGTAATATAGTGTGGAAGATGTCTATTTTGTGTATGTATCATAATAATAATTATTATAATTATTGTGATTATTATATTATTATTATTATTATTATTGATGTTTGATCCGATCTTATCTGAGACTGAAATCGGTCCAATTAAAAACATCCTAAATGTATGAAGATTTCTTAATTTGGATTAGTAATCTATGTCAAAAGTGAAGGAATATTTAAATTGTAAAAATAAAGAAACAACTAAACATATTTACTTTTTGGCTGGGCTGAACGTATTTACTTTTCTTTTGGAAGAATGTGCTTATATTAATAAGAAAGAACGTAAGCAGGATACAACCAGACAAGAGCCCACTGCCTACCGTCAGCCCTTGAACCAGACTTAGAATCTGCCACCTCAAAAGAAGCAATCAGATTCGTTGATCCTGAATTGGGCTTACGTGAGCCAATGATTGGCAAACTAGGCTCCCTATCACCTGTCCTAAGTTGTGGAGTTTTGTTGCCGGAAAAACGCGGCACAACTAAAACAGAGTAAAGATCCAAATAAAAACGAAACACGAAGAAAACTAAACAAGCAAAATAAACTTCTTGTACCCTAGCACCTTATTCAACCCCTGGCGGTGGTTCAAGAGGAGGCCTGACTATCGCTATGATTGTTGACGCACCTAAGCGGTTTTCCTTCGACTCGGCCGCCTCTTCATCATCATCATCGATCACCCCTGTGCCGTCTCCACCAAAATCGATCGCAATCCCCCCCTTCTCTTCCTCAAGGATCAATCCTTATCAAATCTGCACCAAAAACTTCATTGAAACCCCCTTTTGCACGATCTGGCATGCTGCCTACAACTATTTGGATCCTCCGAGACCAAGCTGCCAAATATGCCCTTCGCTCGAACCAACACCCGCCGTGCAGAAGCTCCTCAATCAAAAGCTTCGCAGGAAAAACTACAGCCCAAACCCTAAGGGGAAGGCCGCAGCGTTATTGAACCAAATGTTTAGATCTGATCAGATAGTGCTAAACATATTTACTTGTGAAAATATATACATTTGTATGTATGATACTACGTATGAATTTTCACAGAAATAATGACAGAAATAAAATCAAGGACTTGTGGCTAGACAAAAATAGGACTAGAGTTTGAATTGGACAAAAAAGAGATTAAATTTTAAGAATAGACTGATAGGCCCTTATCCTGCTATCCCTATCCCTCCCGTAAAAAACAGTCCGCTTCCCCACTACCTATCCCACCTGCAACCGTCCACTTCTCCAAAGCTTACACCATAGCCAGCCTCTCTCCAGAGCTTATGCCATTGATCACCGTACAACGTCGCAGCCTCTTCACCGCCGCCAGTTCGCAACTGCATCATCGCACATCACCATCGGAAATTTCGAGGTTCCTTTACTCTTGACTAAACGCCATCTTTGACGACGAGCTTCGGATCTACACCGAAGATCGAGTATACATCACGCTTTTTCCCCTAGCCCTTCTTTACACACGAGCTCCACTAGATCGACGATGAATCA